AAAGCAGTAACCATAAAGTTTGTCTTCCCTTTTTAATTTTGTGCATACACAGCAGTATTGCCTGATATATTATTTTTCAGAAGCTTTTATTCTTTCAAATGCCCTACAGTACAAAATGCATTGATTATATTTTCCACTTAGATGATGTGATTTAAGAGACTATTTTGATATTCTGCTTAAGGATGTAAATGTTCAGTGTATTTCATTTTTATTATATATCTTTTAAAATCCTTATGCAGTAGAAATTAGAGACAATACAACAATAATTTTTATGAAAGATCAAAAATTTTGTTTTAAGATTTACTTGTTTTGTTCAGACGGGCACAGTGTTAAAGAATGTTTGAAGAAGGCTCATAATATTGATTGTTCTCCCCACAAGATAAAAACACTCCCCTGGGCAAGCAGACCCTACCATGATGCACCAAACCATGAGGACGGCGTGGCCACGTGGAAGAATGCATGAAAGGAGAGCGCTACAGGGCTGGCCCCAACCAGAGCCAAACTGACCCCCTCCCTCGAAGTAGGTGTGGCAGCAAGTGGAAATGGACCTACAGGTTGGGGAGAGGGGCCAGCATACTACACCCACATGGAGGGACGCAGACCTGGAGGAAGGAAGAGAAAGAGAGAGCCGGACTGGACCCCACGCTGGTACACCAGGCTCGGAGGATGATGTCCCTGGGGGCAGATAATGGGACACAGAAGGGACTGGGCAACTGACAACAGCCTGTGTTGAGCTGTCCCCTTACTGGAGCAGACTGCGACAGAGGACATTTCCGGAGTCACATCGTGGAGAGGTAGTGCGGTCTGAACCCCCCACAACGGAGCGAATCAGGAAGGTAGCCTACCAGATCAGCAGCTGGAGCAAGGCACAGCTACGATGTTCCTGAGGAGCCCCCAAGGGTGCGCTCCAGGCCGGGAGGGGCAGCTCCTGGACAGTCTGGAAGGCCAGCGAACAGATCCAGGAATTTTGGGGTCTGAGGTTACCACCAGCAGGACCCGTGCCCAAACCTAACTACGAAAGTCCCTTTAGGGGCCCTTATAGGCGCAACTGTAATAATATGCATCTCTGTCAACTTCTGCCTCCAACCCCTGATGGGACTTGCTGCCGTTAAGGCCACTGTGGTGGGGCATGTACAAACTAGTGACCTGGGCTTTTGCTGATAGTCTGGCCCTTTGATCTGGCCACCAACAAAACGTGGCTTGTCATATAAAGTAAACCTCCTCTGGGGACAGTGAAATCAGTTCTGCTCCCCATAGCTTTTTACTCCTCAGGTGGATGTTTACACAGAGGTCTCTCATCTGAGCAGGAAAAGGCAAGCCCTAAGCAGAGCACATTTTCAACCACCTGCAGAACCCAAAGGTCCTAGCAAACAGATGTGCATCTGATGGCCCACAAGGATGCAGACAGACCCCACCCGGGCCTGCAGGGCCTACAAGCAAAGACTGACACTGTCATCAGGAGATGCCAACAGCAAGGGAAAGCTGTCCTGCCAAGAGACCTTCATCTCAGCTAAACACAGTGCTCAGAGTCAGGTTTCTGTGCCACTGGACCAGGCTGTTCTCAGCAGGTTAATCACCTCAGGGTCTACACAGGGGCCTCTCATCCTATGCAGAACTTGGATGGGTTCGCTCTCACTCCTAATCCATAGAAGTGAGTGAGTACTTTAATAGGCAGCCAGAGGACAAGTTTACATGGTTGAGGGAGGGGATAAGGTAACTATTGATCTGAGACCTAGTTGTGGCAGTTCTACAAAGGGTACGTCTCATGTGCACTATATGTTCCATCATATTGTCTATTATATAAAACCAAACCCACTGACATCAAGTTGATTCCAACTCATAGTGACCTTGTGGGACAGAGTAGAACGGCCCCTGTGGGTTTTCTAGACTGTAAATATTCACAGGAGTAAACAACCTCATCTTTCTCCATAGGTGTGGCTGATGGGTTCGAACTACTGACCAGCTGGTTAACCAGTTGGTTAGCATGAAATACTGTTATTATGTCCCTTGTGTATACAACCATTCTGGACAAGATATCTAGCTAACAGGCGAACATTGGAAAGTGACACAAAGTTTTGACAACTAGTTGGGACACAATGCTAGTAGGAAAATCAATATAACCTTCAGACCTTGTGTAGGGGTTTGTGGGAAGAAGGAACACTAATGATTCTGGGGTTTTCAAAACGGTTCCTGGAGGCATTCCTTAGCCTCTGCCTCAAAACAAAACCCCAAACATAAAACTCCTAGTGCTGCCTTTCCGAGGTGTGGTGAATGGTGCTGGGCTTTGGCCCACTTGCCGAACTGGTGAGACAACAGAAAATGCTCCAGCTCCTGCCCTGTGCACATTACACAGAGCAGCGCCAGGCACTGGCGTCCACACTGACATCATGGACAAATGGACTGCTCTGAAAATTATCTGCCTCAGAGAACATTCTTATTTGGATGGAAATAAAAGCTCCAGGTCAAGCAACCCCCACTTAACCTGGAGAATTACTGTATCATTGCCAACGCGCTTCCTATAGCTCCTCTAGGATGGGGTGGATGGACGTACCCTGAGTATGATATCTCAGGCCCCTCCTCCCAAGGGCTGCATGGACAAGGATCGCGGTATGACCAAGCATGTTGGGCATTCCTGAGCTTGGATGAGGTGGAGGCAGGCCAGACGTTACTCCTGTGACTTTTCCCATTGTTCTTTGTGTCCCTAAGGGGCACTTCCCCAGGGGGGTTTGTGGTTGGCTGAAGGTGACCTTGCTCAGCTCCTTTCACCTTCCTTACAGCAAGCTTTTCATTGCTGACACACATCTTTTTAATCTCTCTCCTCTCTGCCATTTCTCTTACCCAGTTACCTCTCCAAACTCTCTGTTGCCTCTTAAACATATCTGCTAAGAGTACAAATGGCCAGTGCTAAAACGTCAAGCACACTGCTACAGGGAAATCAACATGGAGGGTTTCTTATCCCGGGACCAGGAATGCATTTCAATAGAATTACTTTACTTGGAAGTTGATGCATTCTATTTATTTCTGCAGTCAGAACATTATTCTAAGAATGAATCCATAAGTCTCACTCTCCTGTCAGGAAAGCCCACAACACAAAATTGCTTCAGAGCTCCACACGGATCTAGAAAAATCGTCACTAAGCTGCCACCGCGCTCCTCAGCTTCCTTCAATCAGCTGCTTGTTCTCCCCCATCAACAATGTCCTTTTGCCCGTGTTGAAGATGAGCAAAAGAACAGCTTTATGCTTTCTTTACTTCCTCACCCTGCCACGGAGTCCGACTCACAGGACACAGAGGAGAAATGCCCCTCTGGGCTTCTGAGACGAGATCTTGACGGGGAGGAGACAGCCTCATCTCACGCCCAGACACCGGCTGGCAGAGGAGAACTTCTGACCTTGGGGTTAGCAGCCCAACACATAAGCCCCGGTGCTGGGGGGCTTCTTTACTATTCCTGTAGCCACTTCTAAACCACTATTTAGCACATCAACAGGTGACCAGGATTTTACGAGCTGATCTGGGAACCCAACTACCACCACACTCAGTGTTTTCTGTTCTAAGGATGCACTTGCAAGTGGTTTAGGAATATAACCCTTCCTCTCAGTTCGGCACTTTTTTCGGTGCTGACTCCGACTGCAGCTGGTTATTATGAACTTAGCTCCTCAGAGTATGAACTCCCTGAGGCCGTCTCATCTGTCCACATCTGTTGCATCACCTACGGAGTGGAGGGATAAGACATGCTGAATTTGTGGGCAGATTACTATGAATGTTCTGAAAACGCCAAGGCAAGAGGAGAAATCACTATGACTATGGCTTCCAGGCACAGCTCAGAATCAAGGTCAGGAACTAGAATTTTCCCACTTTATTATACCAGGGGAAATGGATAGGCAGAGGGTTGGAAGAAAAGTCCTCCTAGTTACATTACAGGAGCAAAGCGAGGCCCCCTTAGGAAAAGCATGTGCACATATGTCGGACAGAGAGATGAAAATTTCCATGGGGGTGTCAGTGTCATGGGGACACACTGTGCAGCTCTGGGACTGTTGACGAGGTGCAATGGGGAGTTGGGGACAGGGGCCTTCTCCTCTCTATCACTGGGGGCAAAGCTTGGCTCAGAAGCACAGACAGAGAAAGGAAACAGAAGATCTTTGTTGTCCCTCGGGTTTTGAGGACCATCGGGGAACAGCCCACTGAGCAGATGAGAGGAGTTCCTATGGAGGGGCTCCATCAGGAGGCAAAGGGTTCTTCTTCCTTCAGGCGGCCTGCAAGGGGCAGTGCAGAAGGCCATGCCTTGCATGTCTTCCTCCTAGCTCCCAAGCTCCCAAGCGCACACAGGTCGCCATGGGAATGAGTACACAAGAGTGCTGCAGAAGATTTGCATGACGGTTTTGTGAGCTCCTTGTGAGCACCCCCCACCCCCCAACCCAGCTATGTCAGAGGCAATGAGGGTATACATACTTTCAGCTGGCTCAGGTAAGGTCTCCAGGCCCCATCCATGAGACTCTGCCGGTATCTCTTTGTAAAGAAGCCAAGGTACGAAATGAAAGCCGTAGTAAGTAAAATGTCTCCGCATAATGTCCTTTCCTGCTGTTGGAAGTCCTGTTCAGCTTCAGCCCACCTCACGTTTTCAGAAGCAAGTCCTCCAACCTGCCATTTCAAAGACGCGAGGAGAAAGGTCTCACCACACCGCAGGCCAGAGAGCACGCTTAGATTAGGTCGTGGAGAATGCATTTTTTATCTTTTTATTTCTTTTTTGGCCGCAGGAAGAGTCAGAACATCCTTTATGCAGTCCTGATATTGGTCAGTGGGGCCTGCTACTTGCAAACATTTCAGTGAAAAAAGCCCTGTTCTGGGCCAGGCATTAGGTGGGCTGTGGGAACGTTTGCATCCAGTCTTGCAAGCTCTGCCCCTTCCAGGTGCAGAGGTGAACACTGCCCACCGTAAGAAGTCATTGTGAGGATTAAATCTGACCAAGTCTGTTAGTCATTCTGCACAATGCTTGATACATAAAACATGTTAGAAGAGTAGGCACTTTCCTCTTATCCTCACCAAGTGTTTATTCCCCAAATCTCACTACCATGGAGCCAATTCTGACTCATGGCGACCCTACAGGACAAGGTAGAACTGGATTTCCCAGAGTGTAACTCTTTCTGGGAGTTGGAAGTCTTGTGTTTCTCCCTCGGAGTGGCTGGTAGCTTCACACTTCTAACCTTGAGGTTAGCAGCCCAACACATGCCCACGATGCCATCAGGGTTCCTTACCAAGAGCTTGGGGGATGTGAAAAATTTAAAAATAAAATCCATGTTCTAGAAATAACCCACAGTGGATTGAGGGAGATAGACATGGCACTCAAGACCCAACGTGAGAAGTCATGTGGCACAGGGGTGAGCAAAGTGCTGCAGACTCGGCAAAACACGGCCTCACCCTGCTCTGTCCCCTCCAGGGAGACATCCCGAGAAGGGGTGTCTCCCTAAGGTGGACTGTTAGTCATTGAGCTTAGGCTCTGTTTTTATGACCATGTAATATGCTTTTAATCTTGAAAGATGGCATCATGGAATATTCAAGTTGGGAGAGACCTTAGGGTTTGGCCAACCTAACCGTTCCGCATTCTGCCCTGACACATCCACTTTAGATGATAAAGATGGAGGCCACAGAGGCAAAGTTTGTCACCAGGGCCTCCGGTAGAGGCAGGTGGTATCAGAACCTACGTGTCCTGATGCCTAGAGCAGATTCCCGGAGGTCCAACTTAAAGAACAGTCCAGCCAAGCGAAGACGTTTGTGCTAAGTTCTGGAAACCAAACAGGAAACGGAATCACATGCTTGTGCATTTGCAGAGGTGCTGTCTCCAAACCCAACGGTCCGCGCGGCCGACCATCTCCAGCGGTGGGGAGCAGCGGTTCACCAAACAACGGCACCCTCACAAAGTGGGAGGAGAGGCTCTTCTCCAGGGGCTACTCATTCCGCGATGGCTATGACTAGTTTACCCCGAAATGAAAAATAGCTGGCTCTATTACAGAATTAGATGGTGGTTGAAACAGAGGTAAAAATTTATCAATTCCACTTCCTTTCTTTGGCGAGGAAAGTAAATCACTAAGTTTTAAGGTAATTTGCTATGCAGCAATAGACATAAGACAAGCATTTCATTCTGGCCCTCCTACATATTTGTAAGGAAGGCCAGAGCCTGTGTGTGTGTGTGTGTGTGTGTGTGTGTGTGTTCAGTGTACATGTGTGTGTTCAGTGTGTGTGTGTGTGTTCAGTGTGTGTGTGTGTGTGTGTGTGTGTGTGTTCAGGAATGTTTAATCAATCTCATTTTTGTTTCTCTTTCAATCCCAAATCCTGATGACACCCAGATTTATCACACAAACATTACACAGACAAAATTTCCGAGTTTGTCTGTAAGATACCCAGCTGTATCTTCTATTCTTCCTCTCATTGGTATACATGCATACAAGCGCGGTCATGTCTTGTCTGGGCTGCTGATGCTCCTGTTTGCATAGGCAACTTCTTGGATCTGATTAGGCTAGGCAGCTACACTTTGCTCAGGATTCATGGGCATTGCAGCACATTTTCATATTCCCCCCAAGACAAAGCGATTCTAAGTCACGCTCATATATTTTGCACTTTAGTGGCACTTGACAAGCTCTGCTAATATAATTAAAGTTTGGGTCTGCCAAGGCTCACTCACCAGGCGATTTGCAAGGGAGATGGTGCCTGAAGTCACTTCGGCTTCTTGCTGACATTTGAGCTTGTCTGCCGTTGCCTTCTCAAACTTGGCTGTGAGTTTGGCCAGGTTTTCATTAAGGTGCTGGTCGAAAGAAACAAAAGGGCTATCAGTCATTTCAGTCTAAGTGACAGGTTTTTAGGTCTGTGTGCTAGAATGTGACCCTGTGAAGAGGGTTTATGCGTAAGTGACTTAAGGAAGTGCTCCTGGTGGGAAGTGGACAGAAATGGGAGGTGCAGGGCCTGGAGTGGGAGAAAGCCCAGCAAGGGGGGGTCTCGGGTGGAGTCCCAGATGAGATGGCTTCAGCCTGATCCCACAGTGGCAGGAAGTCCAAAGCTGTCCTGACCCAAGGCAACAGCTGAGTTTTCACTCTCCCAATGCCCCATCCATTGGCAAGGGCGCATACACCCTGTCTCTCCTTACACGGAGAGAAAATGAGTTCTAATCGCCTGGCAACAAGACACCGAAGCAAACACCAAACTCACTGCCGCTGAGTCGACGCTTACTCATAGCAGCCCCACAGGACAGGGTCGAACTGGCCTCCACGAGACTCTGAGACGGCAACTCTCTGTGGGAGTAGAGAGCCTCTCCTCCTCCTGAGGAACAGCTGGTGGTTTTGAACTGCTGACCTTGTGGTTAACAGTCCAATAGGTAAGCATTACATCACCAGGGCTCTTTGACAAATGAGGCACAGGTATTGACTATTCGTACCCATGGTCCTAGGGTCATTTATTTTTCTTTTATGTTTCCTTTATGTGGTGAGGAAAGCGGTTTAACTTAAGTTAAACAGGCAGCCATCTAGGAGGGATGCAACAAAGCCCACAGGGAAGAAACACACCAACCCATATGATCACAGGTGTTGATGGGATCAGGTATTAGAAAACCCCAAACCACCATTTTGATGCAAAGAGGGGGCATGGAATGGAGACCCAAAGCCCATTGCAGACAATTGGAAATCCCCTCACAGAAGGGTCACAAGAAAGAGATGAGCCAGCCAGGGTGCAGTATAGCACCAACAAAACACACAACCTTCTTCTAGTTCTTTAATGCCCCCCCCCCCCGCCCCCCCCCCCGACTATCAAGACCCCAGTTCTACCTTACAAATCTAGCTAGAACAGAGCATGTACACTGGTACAGATAAGAGCTCTTAACACACAGAATCCAGGACAGATAAACCCCTCAGGACCAATAATGAGAGTAGTGATACTATAGGGTAGGGGGAAAGTGGGGGAGAAGGGAGAGAATGGGGGAACCAATGGCAAAAATTATCATACACCCCCCCTCCACTCCCAGGGGGGTGGACACAGAAATGTGGGTGAAGGGAGACAGTGGATGGTGTAAAATATGAAAACAAAATGTAAAATTATCAAGGGTTCACGATGGGGGGAGGATGGGGGGAAAATGAGATGCTGACACCAAGGGCTCAAGTAGAAATAAAATGTTTTGGAAATGATGGCAAACATGTACAAAGTGCTTGACACAATTGATGTATGGATTGTTATAAGAGCTGTAAGAGCCCTCAATAAAATGATTTATTAAAATTAAAAAAAGAAGAAGAATGCAAAGTAAAAATACTGGTGTGAAAATAACCATGATTGTTAATGTAGAACAAATCAAAGCAAAACATAGTCAAGGAAAAGGTTACAAGATAATTTGGAGAAAATCTTATAGAAAGTAGATTAATATATGAAAACATGATAAGAAATAGAGCAACCATGTATGAAGCCCAACATCCAAGTCAATATGTAGTCCAATAAATAAGACTAGATAGAAAACAGAAAGTGAGGATATTACCAAAGAAATAATACAAAATAAATTTACAGAGCTGAAGGACATAGGTTCCTATGAGCCATGCACAGTAGAATAGAAATGAATGGCAGCTAAGCACTTCAATATAAAATTTCAGATAGCAGGACAAAAGAGGTAAAAAGAGGTCCAGAAAGATGGAAACAACAGGGCACCTACCAGATTTCTCCCTTCACTGGAGGTGTTCCAACTGAGGAGCATGGGGAAGCAACTCAGAATTAAATTCACAGCAAAATGATTCCTGGTAACTTAGAGTAAGAATAAAATAAAAACGTTGCCAAACTGTAATACACAGATTTACCTCTCATGTAGCATTTCTTGAAGGTTACTTGAGAATGAGGCACAACAAAAGAAATGAAGGAGCCAAGGAAGGAGAAGGCAAGAGGCCCAGAAACCATGGGTGCCAATCCAAGACATCAGGGAACCACGTCCATTCCCCATCATTGACTGGGGCCAGGGATCAAGGATTGGGAAACAAAGGCCATGGGCGACAAATGGGGACACTATGGACTATTGAATTGGATATAGAGTTGAAACAAAACAAAACAACACGAGCCTATGCCAAAAGAATTAATGGAAGAGAAAACAAATAAGCAATCGAAGGGAAGTGAAAATTCCAGTGGGGACTGGGCAGGCAGAAGTTGGTAATAAAAATGAACTTCTAGTATACCACTTAGATCTGCAATGAATCATGGAAATATGCTCAAAAGAACGACAATGGAATCTGTTGATTTCAGTGTTTCAAATCAGTCCATCGAGACAGAGCATGGGACACATAAATACGGCTGCAGTACAGAGTGCAGGTGTTTGGGCAAATTAAAAAAGCGGGAGTAATGAGGACAAACGTTGGGAGGTGGAAGGAAAAAAGTAAGAGTTGCATCTTTAAAACTGGGGCTCCAAGAAAGCTGCCTGTGTGGTGGATCCAGAGATCAAGGTGATGCTGTTGTTAAAGCAGCCTGGGTGGGGGAGGGCTTCCATGCTGGGCTGCTAACCAACGAGTTAGCTTTCTACTCCGTGAAGAGTTACAGTCTTGGAAACGCGGAAGGGCAGTGTTAACCTGCCCTGTCGGTGGCAATGAGGAGGCATCAACGCAATGGCCTGAATCTCCTGGTGGATATTTTCCATCAAGCCAATTCCAGCTCACAGTAACCCCACGGCTACAGAGTCATACTGTGGTCTATATGGTCCATAGGTATTTTCAAGGATGAGACCTTTTGTTAGCAGATCACCAGGCCGGTGTTCCGAGGCACCTCTGCGTGGGTTCAAACCTCTAACCTGTTAGCTAGTAGGTCAAGCACTTAACCCTTTGGGCCACCGAGACACTGCAAAAATAAAGATTAGGTTAAAGGAAAACAGTTGCCACCAATCTATTAGAAAGATACTGGGATTAATTATTTTGATCTTCCTCTTGCCTACTACAAGGTGAACCACTTGGATTAGCTGCACCAAGAAAGAGAGGCACTGGCACAGTAGACAGATAAATTCATTTGACGTTCACGGGCTAGAGGCAAGGCAAATACGGTGACTGGATCAGAGGAATCTCAGTGCTGGGAAAAGAAGTGGGGCAATGGCCACGTGCAGCGCCGCTGTCCCCTTGAACGGGAAGCCGCTGCTTCCCTCCAATCTTCAGATACTTCAAGATGGTCTTGAAATCAGACTTCTTGCATGAAAGGCCCTGCTGTTTCAAATACTGGCCATTAATTATATCATTTTCAAGCACTATGTGCAGGTCAGCTAAAACACATTTCAGCCCCTTGGTAGCAAGCGCTGATGTTGCCTTAACAACCAGCTGAAACAGACAGGAATGAAAAGGGCAGAATGGTTGCATTTCATGGGCAGGTCTTTCCTATTTGGCATTTTCTCTTGTACTCATCTGTCGTCATATGCAGAGGTGTGCAGGCAGTTAGTATACTCCCTGATAACAGACAGGTTAGAGGTTCAAGTCCAATCAGATGCATCTTGGAAAAAGACCTGGCAATCTCTCTCTGAAAAATCAGCCTTTGAAAACTCGATGGAGCACAGATCTACTCTGACACAATTTGCTACAAGTTGTAACTGACTTAACTGCAATGAGATTTGGTTTGGGTATTCATATGCTCATTGAAAATTGCATTACAGCCCTAATAAAATGATTTTTAATGCATTATTTGCTTTAAAACCAATCTTCATTTTATGCTTTGTAATATTTCAGAAAATGTTATGTGTGTTGCAGAAAAACTAGAAAATGCAGATAAAAAGTAAATCCATCCAAATTCTACCACCCAGAGAAAACAGCTACTATGAATCTGTCTGCATGTTTCTATTACATCTAAAACCAACCTGAAATTATATTACATAATCTATTTTGAAAGGGAGTCCTGGGGGCCGAGTGGGTTCTGGGATGGGCTGTAAGGTCAGCAGTTCAAAACTACCAGGTGCTTTGAGGGAGAGAGATGAGGCTTTCTATTCCCATAAAGAGTTACATTCTGAGAAACCCAGAGGCAGTTCTACCTGGTCCCCTAGGTTTACTATGAGCCGGAGCTGACTTGATGGCAGTGAGTTGAGTTGAATCTATTCTGAAATGGGCTTTTATCCTCCATTTTATGTATCCTGAATATAAAATGTTCTACCTGGAAGAACCCTACAAATGTGAAGAGGGTGGCAATACACGCGCCTCAGTGACAGACAGAAAAGACTTTCCTTGTCCTGCATACCCGTCTAAGGAGCCCTGGTGGCACAGCAGGTGGAGCGCTGGGCTGTGAATGGAAAGATTGCAGTTCTGAACTCACCAGGCATTCTGTGGGAGAAAGATGTGGCTGTCTGCTTTGGTCAAGGTATGCCCTCTGGGAAACCCAGTGCGGCAATTCTACCCTGTCCTAGAGGGTCCATGAGAGCTGCATTTGGTTTGAGGGCAATGTGTTTGGTTTTGGAGTTTAGGCTTAACTCCAGGTTAGGAAAGGGTGCTTGCCTCTCTCGTCTGTGATTAGTAGGGGATGTTAGTAGGCAGGTGTATAAACAGAGGAGGGGAAAACGACTGTTAAAAGCAAGAAGACATTTCTGCAGAAAATATTTTGGCAGAAAAGAGCAGTGCAAACCCGAGGTAGCCAAGTATTTTAAAGATACTCTTACTGCTTTCACAGGTTGACTGGGCACGTCATGTGAATGTTGGCTACTGAAAAGGTATTGAGAAAACATTCCCTCTGCACCAAATGTTCTGTTAGTTAAAATAACTGGAGGAAAGCATCTCTGGCAACTCAGCTCCGGTGGCCCTCTTTCCTGGAGAGACTGCAGAATACGGGACTAGCTGGTGGGTCTTCTCCCTGGGAAGGTGCCTTTTGCATTTTCCGCTCTTTGGAAAAGGCCATTGTTGCAGCAACGGCACCTGTTTGACAGTAAACGGACCTGTGAACATCTGGGCTTATAAACAAACATATCGACAGAAGTTTAGGTGCTTCACTCAAGCATCTTTCCCTTATAAAGAGACTAGCTGTGAGGGTAACGGAACAAGCATCTCTCGATGTAGAATTTAAGCTAGCAATCCATAAACTCATGTCGCCATGGGTGTGCGCTCCGTCTGCACTCTGACTACTCACACTTTGTAAAACCCTCTTTCATCACCATGACCAATTTGCAGCATGGGTGTTATTTGTCTGCAATGTACGTATAGAAGTGAAAGTTCGTGTGTGTGTATTTCCGTATATATTCATGATATATACATATATAATTGACTATATAAGGAGCTCTTGTGGCATAGGGGTCATGCATTGGGTTGCTAACTGCAAGGTCAGCATTTCAAAACCACCAGCTGCTCCTCAGGAGAAAGATAAGGCTTTCCACTCCCATCAAGAGTTAACTTTTGGAAACTCACAGGGGCCATTCCTACTTTGTCCTACAGGGTCACTAAGAGTTGGAATTGACAATCTATGGCAGTGAGTTTGGTTTTGTGATTATTTATATATATATATATATACACACAATATATATATATATATATTTGTATATATAATACAATTGTATATATTACAATATATATTGTTACATTATGTGATTGTAATCATATATATGATTGAATTTGACATAGATCTATGTGACTGTCTATATGAATATGATTGAATTTTGATGCACGCATGACTGAATTCATCACGGTAGTGATGTGTTTCTCAGTCGTTGCTTGTGTAGACATGTGCTAGTACTACCTGTGGTTGAAGGAAGGACATAGAAGTCATATGAAGATTGCGATCACCTCCTGCAGCTACATCCACTTTGCACTGCTACAGGCTGGGCTGTGAACTTGAGTTTCACATGCATTAGCTCCTTGAATCTTCTCAGCAACCTCATGGAGGTGGCCCTCTCCTTGGGTCCATTTTATGGAGGATGAAACGGAGGTTTGGCATTCTGAAGATCTTGCTAAGGGTCACCCTGTTAGTAAACAGTGTAGCTTACATTGGAAGTGATGTCTGGCTGTGGAGGATTCCACTGCCCACCTCCCACTGGCCTGGTGTCCAATCTAACAGCAAAGGTGAAGTACGAGTGACTCTTTCTCAACCAGGGGTAGACTCCACGTCACCCCCATCATCTGCCAGTCCTGGGAGCAGCGGGTACAATGAGGATATCACCATGGTTTTATAAAAACGAACTACCGCATGGTCCAGGAACCCTACCCCTAAAACCCTGAGGTAAAGTTGCTTTGAAAGTTTTCATAAAAATGAAGACAGCATAAAACATACGCAGGAGTCCCATTCGGCTACACTGCTGGGAGAGACGCGCAGAGAGCTGAGGACAGCCGGTACAAAAGGAGAGGAGAGATGAAGAAAGGAGAAGACAAAGGAGTTGAGCTTTAATTCTGTACGCTCAAGCATCAGATCTGTAAAGAAGACATTTTTAAAAAGGCCAGGCTTACTGGTCATCAGACAGACACTGGTGGAAGCGCTGGGACTATGGTCCTCAGTCCCTCTGCAGGCCTGTAATGAACTTCCTGCACCCACAGCTCAATCCCCAGCCCCGCCACAGACAGGCCGATGCAGGGAACAAGAGCTCTAGGGAGGCAGGCACACTTCAGAAGAATCAAACCAGTGAGAACAGAAGGACACCTTGACCCAAGGACCCAGCCAGCCCAGCAAAGGAGGAGGAATGGGAGACCCAGGGAGCAATGGGGGCTAGGGAGGGACCTCGCCAGGGGATCTCAATCACGGAGGAAAAACAAAGCATGCATGAGTTGTTGACGGGAGCACGGATCTGCTCTGTCAACCTTGACCTCAACATGTTCAATCAAGTTGTGACTAATAAGATAAAAGCTGGCTACATGAATGATGCTGTTCATTATATACATGCCTATCATCACCCCCCCCCCCACTACTACAAGAGGAAAAAGAGAAGGAAAAACAAACGAACAAACACATCCATTTTTAAGGACCCAAACTAAAAACCAGTGGTCCAGAGGTTTAATTTTGGTAACAGTGCCTTGCTTGGCCTAAATTTGAAAAGTCACTGCAATCCAGTCAATTCCGACTCATAGTGACCCTACAGGGCAGGGCTAAACTACCCCTGTGGGTTTCTGAGACCGTAACTCTATGGCAATAGAGAGCCTTGCCTTTCATCCGAGGAGTGGCTGCTGACCTTTGATTAGCAGCCGGATACATGACCGCTACACCACCAGGGGTCCCTTTGCTTGCCTTCGATAAACCCACACCAAAGCAATTGCTGTTGAGCTGGCGAGAGCTCCTGGGAGCCACATGTGTGGAGCGCAGCGTTGGACTCTGCTCAGAGGGATTGCAAGGGCTGTGTGTTTGCAAGTAGGTCCGGGGCTTTTCTTCCACGGAGACTCGGTCCTCAGCCTTTTGGTTAACAGCTGAGCGCTCAACTGTGTACCACCAGCGGTCCTCAAACTTCTTAAACAGGGGGCTAGTTCATGTCCCTCAGACCCGTTGGAGGGCTGGACTGCAGTTTAAAAAAACTATGAACAAATTCCTATGCACATTGCACATATCTTATTTTGAAGTTAAAAAACAAACGGGGCAAAAACACCTGGCGGGCCGGAGCGGCGGGCCGCATGTAGCCTGCGGGCCGTAATTTGAGGACGCCTGGTGTACCACCCAAGAACTCCTGGGCCTATGTAGTGTTTGAGGGAACAGAAAAATCCTGTCTGCTAAAAGAAAAATAGGAGATTTTATATGAAAATGTGGTTTTCCCAGGTCTCCTTGAAAATCAAGAAAGTGGGTGTGAGGTGACAGCTTTCGATGCCATCTGTCAGGGCCTGATTAACGGGGCCAGGAGGGCTGGGCTCCACTCACGGCGATCTTGACTGTAATGGCCGCCAGCTTTTCCTGGGCAGCGGTGAGCTCCGAGGTGGCTTTGCTCAATGCCTGGCGTTTGGGCTCCACATCACAGAACACTTCATAGAATCTCACAATGTTTATGACCCACGAGCAGAGGCCCGCGGCTGCGTATGACTTGGTGGCCACAAACTCGGGCTTGAATTCTGGGTCTTGCAGGTACGGCCTGATGGCTTGGAGGCAGTTCTCGTGAATGTTTTCTTTGTCAAACTTGATGAGCGAGTCCAGGAAGCCGTCCACCTTGGCCATGGCGACCTTGGCAGCCTTCCAGCTCCGGTCCTTGGGCACCTTGCCTCTGGGAGCCAGGAGCACCATCACTGCGGCGCTGACGTTGCTGACAGCCGAAGGAGGGGACCCGAATGACTTCAGCTCTGTCAGGTTGGTCTGCGAAAGAGAAGGCCAGCCGTTAGGGGAAAATGAATGGGCTTTTTTTGTCCTGAGACACTAATGGCGTCAGGCCCTGGAGTGATCACTCTGAAAGGGCTGCTTTGAAGGCTGCAACAGCCCTCTGAATTTTAAATATCATGACTCATCAATGGGAGACCTCCCCAGAGGGCTGTAACTTCCCTGGACTGTTCACCGTTAGCCTGTTATGTTCGTTCAGCACTCCGCCCAACTCACAGACCAGTAGAAACCCACACTTACTTCACATTCAGTGGGAAAAGACGAGGATGCCAGCATACTCTGAAATATGCAGCATGCCATGAATAAAAGATAAGATTATTATAAATTAATCTCTATCTTAGATAGAAGAGAATAGCATTGTGGCGCAACTAATTTTCCCGTCCTATGATGAAACCGCTTTGTTTCATGAGCTTGTTCTAACTACACTTGACTGTCCTGACTCCTCATTGTAAAGTGGCATTTTCTGTCCAGAAATAATTCAGATCGAAAGTTAGGCAGAGCCCCTGCAGTCAGTTGCCTCTGGCTGGACATGGGCGTCCAAGTTCACTTGCTTTAGAAAGACCTGGCCGCAAGGGTTGACCTTGGCAAGGCACCACGTTTCTTTGTGCTCTGGGAGCACATGGGCTCACTCTTCTGTCAGTGAACGTGTACATAAATGCCTGTGGACTGGATGGAGGATTTGTTGTGACTGTCCACCAGGAGTCTATGGCTTAGGTAGCACACATTAAGGAAGCTATGAATTCCAGTCCTGACTCTACTAGTTGGAGTTGTGACTCTAAGAAGTCACCCCTACTTTGGGCCCTGGTTTTCTCATCTTTAGAGTAAGGAGATGGCACAGGATGGTCCCTGGTGTCCCAACTGTTGCACATCTCTGGGAGTGTATTAGCATTCAGTGGAGGTGGGCATATAGAGGGTATAAATAAATGTTTGTTTGCCTCAAGAATAAACCAGTGATAGTCCCTGCCTTAAGCCTTCCTAACGGAGTCCTTGCATTCTTTGGCATGCTGTGATACTGAGCTGCCTCGGTCAGAAGAGGAGACTTACTCCTTGCTCCAAGGATAACCCAGCGCCTGCCTGCCACCTGCCTCCCTCCTACCTTGTTGAGTGTGTGGAGAGCAGCCTGGGCTGCTGTGAGCGCAGGCTCTGCTTTGACCAGGTCTTCCTCACAGGCCTTCTGCTTCTGCTTCACCTCGCGCATGATGAGTGCGACCTTCCGCTCCTCCTCGTCTGCGAGGGCCTTCTCCTGGCTCACTTTACCAGTCTCCACGCCGACCACCTGAATCAGTCTGTCTGCATCTTCATTTTTCTGCTTCAGTTCCACCTCCTGGGTGGCCAGCTTGGCTTTGAGATCATCCACCTGGGTCGGAGAAGCACAGAGTCATTCGGTGTAGTGACAGGGGCACAGCTTCGGACCAACGCCCCTGGCTTCAGAAAGGAAAGAAATGCTGGACTCTCAAGATAGCAGAGGAACTACTCTAAACACATGCCCTGCACTTTCTCCTGAATTCTCAAATGACGTGGACTGCTTCTTCATGACCAACTCCCCCAACCAACTCACTGCTATCGACTCGATGCTGACTTAGAGCGACCTTATAGGACAGAGTGGAATTGCCTGTGTGGGCTTCCAAGACTGTAATTCTTTACGGCAGTAGAAAGCCTTGCCTTTCTCCTTCAGAACAGCTAGTGTTTTCAAACTGCTGTCCTTTTGATTAGCAGCCCAAAGGGTAACCGGTACATCGCCAGGGATCCTCTCTTTTACTAGTATTGATGGCACTATTTTCTACGACTTCTATAATAGCATAAGGTCTTACACATGGTAGGTCTTTAATAAAAATCAGCCATTGTTTATTTGAAGTTGGCCCATGTAGAATGTTCTAAGGATTCAGCAAGAAATAGAAAGTGAGTTTCTACTGTGAATTCTTACAAGACATACACAGGCCGGTTGCAGTGAGACAGTACAAATCCCAATAGTCCAGGCCAACTGGGTTCCCAGTGAGCTACTGAACAAACCATAGTCTAGAGGCAGGAATGAAATTATGGCAGAACAGCATTTGGAAAACCAGTTCTTTCTGTGATCAGCTAGAGAGAGAGGGATCACTTTCTAGCTGCACTCAGGTCCATGGATCCCAGTGGTTCTCAAACTGAGGTACCTGAAGCAGTAACATCAAAATCACCAGGGGACTTGTTAAAATCCCATTGCCATCAATTTGGTGCTGACCCTTAGCAATGGTAAAGGACAAAGATCGGCCCCACACATAATCTTTATGGACGTAGATTGCTGTCTTTCTTCTGAGGAGCAGCTGGAGGGTTTGAACCACTGACCATTTGGTTAACAGGTGAATACTTAACCATTGTGTCATGGGGTTCCTGAGAACTTGTTAGAAAAGCAAAGATGAGGCTTTCTATTCCCATAAAGAGCCATGGGTGAAGGAGAAAGAGGTTTGGCTTAGGGAGCATTGAGCTTATTTTAATGGTGATAGAACAGTTTGGAGAGGGATATCAATAATTGGTAATACACCACAAAGAGTATAATCAACGGCACCAAATTATACATGCCATTGTATTGAAATTGTTGAATGGGAGAGTGTTTTATTCTGTATATTTTTGCCCCAATTGAAAAAAAATTTACATGAATAACAATGAGTACAAGGAAGAAGAAAATGTTCTAAAATTGATTGTTGTAATGATTGTACAACTCTTCTTGATATGATTGAACTACTGAATTATATGATATGTAGATGAAGTGCCAATACACTGTTTAAAAAAAGAGTTTCCGTCCTGGACACTCCCCGAAGCAGGTCTGCGCTGTCCTATAGAACCTTTGTGAGCTGGCAGTGACTCGATGGCACTGAGCTTTGTTGTTGGGCTTTTTGACTTGAGACCCTATACCTGGAAGCTGCTGGGTGGTGCAAACAAAAATTAATACCCTTGGCGGCTAACAGAAACATTAGAGATTTCAGTCTACCCAGAGGTGCCTTGGAAAAAACCTCTGGTGATCTATTTCCCCCAAATCAGCCATTGAAAGACCCTGTGGTTTTCATGGAAGCAATGCACTATTACTTAACCATCAAGAAAAACAAAGTCTTGATAAATGCTACTACATAGTTTAACTTTTTTTTACCCAAACCGTTTTATTAGGAGCTAAAACAGACATCATACCTTTCCATAGTTCAATCATATCAAGCAGTATTGTGCAATTGCTACTAAAATTGGTTTCGAAACATTTTCTTCCTTCTTGAGCTCCTTGATATCAGCTCTCGCTTACTCCCCTCCCCCACCCTTAGTGTAACCCCCCAAGAATTCTTCTTCTAGTTGTCTGTATAGGTTCATCAATCCTGGGTTTCATATGTTGAACAACAACCTGGAATTTTCTTGAACCAAGATTCAAGAAGGCTGCCCACAATGATAAAATACAACAGAGATAAACCCCAATATGAAAAAAGACTCGCAGAAAATATTTCAAAAATATCAAGCCCAAAGAGTATCAGAGGGGAGATCACGTGACAAGGTTGTAACCATTCAAGGCAGCTTCATCATTTTCATCTCCGATAGTCGTCTCTCCAATCCTCTGTGTCTGATAACCAGTTTATACATATCCCTCAATTATGGTTAAGGGGAAATCGCTGGAAGCTTATTCCCTGTGTAGATCTACACATGTATTCTGGGTTTCCACCGTCATCTATAGCCTTCTGCAAACCAGAATAGAGATTAACTTTGAAAACATGGTGCTGAGTAAATGAAATCCACCAAAAAAAAAAAGAAAAAGAAATCCATCACAAAAGGACCAATCTTGCACAATTCCACTTATGTAAATCTCTAGAAGAGGCAAGTGTCCAGAGATCAAGGTTTATTCGTGGCTAGCAGGGGCTGGAAGGAGGGAAGAGAAAGGAAGACCGTGCTTAGTAGAGTTCCTGTGATGGGAACATTTGGGAACTGATGGGTGATGGCGAAACAACGTGGTGAACATAGCTCATGTCGCTGAATATGAGAAGATTGTTAAAATGGGAAATGTTTTGTTACATACGTGTATACCACAATAACAAACAAACAAGCAAAAACATACAGAGTCCAGTTCTCCTCTGATACATGGAAGCACTGTGAGTCAGGGGAGATTTCAGGGCCACTGGTACCCCAGACATAGGGAATGTAAAACTCTGAGGCCAGGGCTCAGTCTTTAGGGCTCTCCAGGTGATGCTGTTGTCCACCTCGGTCACTGGCTTAGTGTTTTGGCCCTTTCAGATGCAAAGGAAAGACTGTCCGATTTATTGCTGGGAAGTAAAAAGGTCATTTGTCTTTGCAACATGGGCCATAAACTTTTCAATCCAAAATGACCTCTTGACTCCCATTTTCCTGCATTCTATTTCCTGCAACAATTGAAGATTGCCTTAGAGCTCCTGGAACATGTCAAACAGATTCGAATGCTTTATGATGCAAAATGCGCAAGAGGGAAAATAAAACTGAGGCTTAGATGATGCTGATAATTCCCTTTTCATGGCACATCAAAAGAAAAGGAAAGGAAAGAGCGGAAAAGAATGCTCTTTAATTCTGTGTATTCATAGAAACTGGAGACTTTGTGGTAACCTCAAATAGAGGCCTGCTCCCTAGAACTTGTCTTATATTTAAATGTTGGAAGGTTAATCCATTTCCATCTCCCGTTGTTCAGCTGCAGAGAGTTATTTCTATAAGGACAAAGATGCAATTGTAAATCAAAATGATTGAGGCACATAATCACCCCAGTCAGCAAACACACCAGTAACTTTTTGTTCCTTTTTAAATCTTGGGAGATTTGAGAAAATTGAAGTTTTCTTCTTCTTTTTTGTGGCTGTTGTTCTGTTTAGTTGATTGCAGATATGGTTTATGGCCTTAGGCCCAAGGTAAATAATCACCAGCACTGTGAATAGGTGCTTTACAGCTCTTAAGCTGTGAGGTGACATGGTGTGACAGGAGGGTCCCACCACCCACAATTAGCCTCCCCCACACAGCTTCCGAAAAGGCATAACTCAGGCTCACTTACTGGCTCCTCTTCTTTAGAACCAAAGACCAAACCAAGTCTACTGCCACTGAGTCAATTCCGACTCCTACACCCTATATCCTTCAAGAGAAAGGAAATTGTAAAAAGGTTACTTTCAATCTCTCTCTTCTGTTCCTTGACTCAAAGCCTTTGAGCCATAATTTGAATCTCTTCTGTTTCTAACTGCCATCAAGTCAATACTGAGTCACAGTGACCCTATGGGGCAGGGTAGACCTGCCTCTGTAAGTTTCTGAGACTGGGACAGTTTACGGGAGTGGAAAGCCATCTTTTGCCCAAGGAGCTGCTGGTCGTTTTGAACTGATGACTTTGCAGATCACAGCCCAATGCATAACCATTACACCAGCAGGGCTCCTTCTTATGTAGACACTACTAAGCCTTGAAAGAAAGATTAAGAGGGAGAGCTCCCCAAACCCTGAAGAGGCCTTTTCCCTCGGCCTTCTGGTCCATGAATATTGACCGTGCACGCTAACTGGGAGGCTTACTGAGGGAGGTGGGATAGGGTGTTGATGGGAAGACCTGCCTTCTTCAAGGTCTAGGCACAACAAGCTATAAGGGGAGGCCAAGTGTCCCAGGGTCTTCTCATCGGGCTCCAGAGACTTGGTGAATAAAGCTGAGCGGGGATTGTTGTTGTTGTTAAGAGCCACTGGGTCAGTTCTGACTCACAGCCAGCTGTGCACAGCAGAAGGAACGTTGCCCAGACCTGCACCATCCTCACAGTGGTTCCTGCGGCCTGGCTCGCTGTTGCAGCCACTGTGTCAATCCATCTCACCGAGGGGCTTCCTCTTTTCCTCTCTCCAGGGACCGTTCACTCCTGACACTATGTCCCAAGTATGTGGGTCCTTATGAAAGGTAGAAAGATTAGGGATAAAGGGGGTTGTCTCCATCAAATGTCTACGCTAAACGAACATTAGCTGCCAATGCCACAATAAAGGCGTTGCACAGAAATCAAGCACACATTAGACGCAGATGGGGACAATCCAAAGCTGAGCTTGCTCAGAGCCAGGTCACCTAGGCCCAGGCGGAGATCAACCTGGGCACACCCACACTAGGCGCCAGCAACAGTACATCACACTCTGATTGGGTCCAAACCCTCAACCGCGTGCCTGCCTCCCCATTGCCCCCCAGCCAGTGGGGATAGGAGGGGTACGCAGGCTGATGGCAAGCTGCAGCCCTCTCTCAGGTCTGAGCGTGGGCTCTCCCCGATGGGCATGGTGCACACGTGTGAGACCTCTCAGGGCATGCACTAGAGAGGGCTCGCACTTGCACTTTTTTTCTTCTCTTGGTTCCGGGACAGCCCTTTTCTTCTCTTGGTTCCGGGACAGCCCTGTGGATTCCTTGTATGGGTCATTTTCTCTGCGGTTTTTCACGATCCCCAAAGGTCGACATTTTCAGTGGCGAACTTTCCCACAGCCCTGCCTTGCGGCTTTGCACAATTTCCAGAGCCAGCATGTATTACCTGAGACTGTATTACTTCCCTTTCCCTCATAAAAGTTACTTGCATTTACAAAAGTGCTTCTGCAGCACGAATTCTTTCAGCATTGAGAAGCAAGAACTGAGGAAAACCATCCCAGAAACCTCACCTTTCTAGTCATCTAAATTGTGAGATGAGTTTGGGTTTCAAGGAGGGCTGCTTGGGGATGTTTTCTCTCTGGAATTGTTGTTGTGAGTTACGTGGAGTTGGCCCACGGTGACCCCTGACCTCCTCTGGACGGCTGGTATGTTCCAGTCACCGCTGAGGCTGTATGCCCGTCCATCCTTTTGAAGGGTGTCCGCCTTTTTCTGACCCTTCAACGTGACCAATGGCTTTTTCTAGCGACTGAACTTTCCTGCTTACATGTCCAAAGTGAGTGAGTTGAAATCTCACCATCTCCCATCTGCTAGGGCCAGCACCCTGACTCCAGGCTCGACGCCTCTTATGTTCTACAAAAGTCATTTTTTATTCCACACACCACTTGTTTATACTGTGTCTGCGATAGCAGCAGCAAGAAAGGAAGACCCTTGCTTAGCATCATAGCAACATACGAGTCTTCACTGACAGGCGGGTAGTGGTTGACCGGGCAGTGCCTTGTCCAGGCGTTGAACCCATGGAAGGTAATGATGCCACCACTAGAGAAGTGATGCTACATTGAGGGAATTGCAATGGATAAGATGAAGTAAAATGTGTAGGAATTGTTGAATGTAAAACTAATGATCTGCCCTTGAATTGGGTGGTGGTGGTGGGGCTGCGCTTGGCAAGGAGGTGGAGGTGGTAAAGGGATGGAATTAAATGCAATTTCCATAAACACAACCACTAACAAAAGAATTCAACCACTAGCCACCAGTGTCTCATTCTTGTTAAATGAGATCATTCTTGTTAAATGGAAATCACACATTACCGAGTGCTCAAAGACCCAGGGATGACATAAAATTGAGTACTAGTTGCTGTTCTGTGAGTGGGTTGTAGCGCCTTTCCCATCCCCTGATTCCAGGAAACCACACTTGATACAGAACCATCCACAGTTCCTAGAAGCTAAGTCGGCAGAAGGTACAACAGGGGCTAGTGGGGAGGCAGAAGGTTCCGAGGGCACTGTAGGCTGGCAGAAGAATGGATCAGAAAAAACGTTTTAATTTGCTTGTAATGCATTGGAGACTTTATGCTCTGCAAAGTCAGAGACTGGGAAAACCAGCATGTGACTAAGAGAGAAAACTCCAAGATGTCCTAGCAAAGGTGTATACCAGGTGAACAGCTAGTGCTTGGACTGGGACCTGTATGCCGGCAGACTCACCCTATCACTATACCTTTCAGAAAATGTTTTGGACATCACACAAATAGAAAAAGAGTAGTGTCACAGATAATTTACACCTGCTATTTCTTGGCAAACATTGAGTCTAAACAGATCTGATCTTGCCCGAAGGTCAACAAAATAAATAAGGGCTTCAGAGAAAATAAGGAACAGAGAAGACTAAGTGGAAGAACATAGCTATAGGAATGAGCTATCACGGGACCCAGACAAATGTTCAGGAAGATGTTCAGCACTGAAGTGCAATGGTTGGTTGCAGAAAAATACTTAAAAGCAATAAGATGTGTTCAAATGGAAAAGGACAATATTAGAAATGTCAGCTAGGAAATTAAAAACGCAAAAGCATAATCAAATACAATGTGAGCATAAGAAGCGGAAGCAACAGAACACAATATTAAATTAATATTGCAGGAGAGACACTTGGAAAGCTCTCCTAGAATGTAGAGAGAAAAAGGCTGAATAGATTAAAACAATGAGCAAGAACACAGTTGATGTGAGGTATAGCTGCACAGTGCTTCTAAAGAACAGATTATGTGGAACAAAAATATGCCCAAGAAGAGAAAGACAAGGGCCCACTAAATGAACTGAAGACCTTTAGATAAGAGGGAGCTTGAGCAAGTTCACAGAAAAATGGAATTAAAGGATAATGGAACGTTCCAAGAACTTTCTGAAGCTCCTTTGTAAATTACATCCTGGCATGTAGAAATGGAAGTGGGGAGAAAGGGCAGGAAGTGGGGAGAAAGAGCAAGTCAGAAGACGAAAGCTCCGTAGAACTATTCCAACAGCCAGATTCTAAAAAATAAGGTCAACAAAAGGTTTATCTATCTACAGAAAAACATGATATCCAAGTATTAAGTTGATCATAATTTTAGTTTAACTGTGAAATTTTATGACTGTCTCACCTGCGTCTGAGAGGCAAGCTGTGCTGCTGGTATGCAGAGAGCCGAGAGGGGTCACCAGGGAAGCAGAGATTATTAATGGGCATGAACAAGGGACAGAACAGACACTACTAGATTTATCTCCAGCTCTCAAGGGAAGGATAGGGATTTGACTGAAATGAAATTGTTCCATTTTATGCTCTATCAGTGTAAGATTATGACAAAGACAGAGGTCGTCTTATAACAGACAAGCCATTTAGGAGTCTATGAAGAAGTACAGGAAATGAAACAGAGTTTAGGTTTTAATGATTCTTCGGCAAATAATCCAGGAAGAACAAAGAACACAGGTTAGGTGTAACGCTCAACCACTTCCCCTAACTATTCATGGCTTTTGCTTTTGAGGATGGAAGGGAAGGGAACTGGAGAGGAAAGGAAAGTAGAGGATGACGTTATCGTTAGCTGTGGTGGAGTGAACGCTGTCTCGTGGTAACCTCAATTGCACCAGATCGACAGGGTCGCCTGGTTGTATCGTCCTCATAACCATCACATCTGAGTCCGTCCTCTTGGCTACTGTGCCAGTTCATTCCTTCACGGACCCACTTCACTAAACACGATGTCCTTTCCAGTGATTGATTCCTCCTGGTACCACGTTCAGAGCAAGCAAGCTGGCTGAGAGTCTCTTGTGACCCATAGTGTTTTCATTGCCTACTGTTGGGCAGCATATCACCAGGCTTTTATTTCTAGCTCGTCTTTGTCTGGAAACTGCTGAAACTTGTCCACCAAGTATGGTCCTGCTGGTATTTGAAACTGGTGGACAGCATTATAATCATACAAACTATACAGCTTTTGGTATCACAGCAAGCATGCAAGACACCACACTATGCCAAAAGGGGAAACGAAGAGGGAATCCTTAGAGAATCTGAGCACCAATACAACCAGACCTGGAGCGGAAGACGAGGACAGGTTAGCCTCAGCTTTGGCCACTGTTTCGAATGACATCAATGATTTTCAGAAAGTGTCCCAACTGGCAGTGACCTGGATTGCAACCTCCTTAGGTCACCAGAAAGGCGCCTCTCTCTCCCTCTCAGTCCTCTGCAGGTAGGCGAGGGATGGAAAGGACGCTACTCACCTGGGCAGATGTGCTGTGGAGCTTCAGCAGCCCATTCTCAAGCCGCTCCGTTTTGGACCTGAGCTCCTTTCCATTCCTGCGCAGCAGACTCTGGTAGAGTCTGACGAACTCCAGAAAGGACTTGGGAGTTGTGTAGTTGTAGCGCTGCTCATTGCTCAGGTAAGACTGGGATGTTTGGTTGACACTTGTGTGGACAAAGGCCATGAATTTGCTAATGGACAGCTTTACTGTGGGCTACAACCAAAAAAAATCAAGAAGTGAAGAGGTGATCTCACCGTGATGACTTGAGAGGACTACTCAACCCACTGGCTGCTTCCACCAGGTGGAAAGCTGTGCTCTGATAACGCTATTCCAGCCCGACCTTTCACCCTGAAATTTTAAAAAAATCATTTTGTTGGCAGCTCGTACAGCTCTTATAACATTCCATACATCGTTGTATCAAGCAGATTTGTACATGATGCTGCCATCATCATCACCCTGAAATTCTTGTACCTTGTGTTGGACCATGAAATTCCCTGTGCCTTGAGTTAAGGGAGGTCTGAAGGAGCATCTCCTTCCCCTTCTCACCTCAATGTTCTCTGTGTGTTGCAGGAAGCGGAGGCTGACAGACTCTAATGCCTGCTGCGGCCACGCGTGGAACCAGCTGATGGCCGTGCAATTCACAATGGCCGGGAATTTCCTGCTTCTGACCCTCAGCTTATCCCCCACCGGGGAGAAACAGAGAGTCACCTGAAAAGGCAGACGATGGGGAGAGTCAAGAGAGCATGAGAGCTAACTCGCCAGAGAAATGGATATGGCTTCTTTTTTTCCCCTTAAAAATTGTAAAGCACATCTAACAGTGACAAGAGTTGTGAAAGCAAGTCTTTCTAGCCACGTGTGCTGGGTCTGCATGATGCCATACAAGTGGATGAGAAGGGGATCCTTGCAACGATGCTCAGGCTGAGAGGGGCTGCTCTCGGCACTGCAACCCTACCACTCTCTCCAAGATAGTGAAAAAGGACACTTGAGAGGGCAATACTGGCAGTCTCCCTTCAGCCATCTTGGTGCCTGCTAATCATGGGCAGCTTATCTGTCTTTACCTTCAGTTGACGTCGGACCCGGTCTATGAAGAACTTCCAGCAATTCTCTCGGTTGTCGACAAGGCCCTGGCTCTTGACTTCATTCCTCACATTGCTTATGATGTTTTCAACTTCCTCATCTGAGTAGAGATCAGGGATCTCCCCTGGGAGCACAAGAAGCACAGAGGAGCACTTTAGCATCTTGTTGCATGGTGCAAGCTGACACGGGAGGCCAGGTTTCACCAATGTCCAGGTGAACACATGCACTCCAAACCCAGGGCAGGAGAGTATACATTAATGAGTGTAGGGCATCCTCTTGTCCTGGAGTCAGCAGTTGGAAGCACTAAGCCCAAATCCATTGCTGTTCAATGGATTTCAACTCATGGAAACACCATGTTTGACAGACAAGAATTGCTCCATGACGTTTTCTTGGCCGATATATTTATGGAAGCAGATTGGTAGGCCTTTCTTCCGTGGGACTTTCTGGGGGGGGGGTCTTAACTCTCATCCCATCACTTAGTTGGTGAGTGCCAACAATCTTGGAACTCTAGTTGTTGTAGCTTTCATGAATTGGCTGGTAGATTTGAACTACCACTAACCTTTTGGTTAGCCGTCCAACACCTAGCTCACAGCGCCACTAGGAACAACATAAGCCAAACAGAACAGCAGCAACCACACAGAACAAAAGCCCTCCAGAACCAACTACGATTTTTTGGTATGTTTTTCTGCATGTGAAATCCACGATAGGTAAATCTATATATAGAGTAACTGGATTAGTGCTTTCCTGGGGTGTGGCAGTGGAGGTTGGAGGGAGGGGTGGGGAATGGGGAGCTAACAAAGAGTACAAGAGAGAATAAAAGGGCCTAAAATTGATTGTGGTGATGACTGTATAACCCTTCTTAATACGATTGAATGATTGAATTATATGATATGTGAATTAGTATGCCAATCAAACTTTTTTTTTTTTTTAAAAACAGGCTCTAGGACTTTAGGGTGGATTACTGTAGTGGTAATTAGGTTAAAATGTGACACCATGTCATTTGATATCATTTTGAATCAATGTATATTTGTTCCAGATTCTACTATTTCCTGCTCTCTTATTGAGTGAGGTTTTTCTGTTTTATTCTGTCATTGTTGGGATGTTTGCTGTTTTTTTGTTTCGATTCTGTATGTTTTTCTGTATATGAAATCCAGGACAGGTAAATCCATAGATGCAACACATGGACTATCAATTTCCCAAAGCATGGCAGGGGAGGTTGGCAGGAAATGGGGAGCTGACAGCAATGAGTACAAGAAATGTCCTAAAATTGATTGTGGTGATGAATGAGTAACTCTTTTCAGTGTGATTGAAATTTATGATATGTGAGTTATATGACACTAAAATTGTTAAAAGGAAAAATAAACAATCTACTTTTGACCATTTAAAAAGTTGCTCTTGTTTTTAATATCATATTTTCTTTCCAAAAAGTTTTTTTTTCTGCTTTATTTTACTTTTAGCCTTTTGACTTTTTAAATTTTTTTGGCATTTTTGTATGTTTATAGGTATATGAAATCCAGGATGGGTGAGTCTATAGAGTCAGCAACTGGATTAGGAGCTCCTTGGGGATATGGTAGTGGAGGCTGGGGCAAAGGGGAGCTAACAGCAACAAAGGGAAATGTTCTAAAATCAATTGTGGTGATGATTGTATAACACTTCTTATATGATTGAACTATGGAATTGGATGATATTTTAGTTATGACTCAATAAAATTGTCTATTAAAATGCATGCTTAACTTAAATTATAGTTAAATGTCTAGTCTCCTCAATATGTAAAAAACCTCTTGAGAAGTAATGGAAAAGGTCAACAATTTAATGCTAAAATGGCCCAAGTATACAATAAATATATGAATAAATGTTGACTATGTGTGACTAAGCCTGGAAATGTAAAGACAGCTAAACGTCATAAAAGGATGCTAAAATAGTTCACCACAGTAATATATAAATGAATTCAAACAATATGAACATCAAAATAAATATATAAAATTTCTAAAACCTATTATAAAACCTGAATAAATGAGAATTCTTCAATTCACTATAGGTATCTATCCCAAACTAACAGCAAACATATTTACTGATGAACTGATAAACTGCTAAATAGTCTCCTTAAGGGCTGATTTCCACAATTGATAGAAAACTTCAACACATCAACAATACAAGAACAAAAATAACAGTCCTACTACAAATTGCGCAGAAGACAAGAGTATACAGTTCACAAAGGAAGAAATTTAGGCAGCCACAAACTCAAGAGGAAATGCTTGTTATCATTAGCCATTAAACCAAGCCCACTGCCATTGACGTGCTGTGGGAGGACATCAAGACCAACGCTCACAAAGAAAGCGAAAGATCATTAAAGAGACAGGCCAGAAAGAAAAGATCAAAGTGGACGTCAGAAGAGATTCTGAAACTTGCTCGTAATCATAGAGTAGCTAAAGCAAATGGAAGAAAGACCTAACTCAAAGAGCTTTATAGAAATTTCAAAGAGCAGCTTGAGAAGACAAAGCCAGAAATTAGAATGAAATGTGCAAAGGCCTAGAATCAGAAAACCAAAAGGGAAGAGCATGTTCAGCATATCTTAAACTTAAAGAAGAAAAAAATGCAAGCCGTGAGTTGCAATCTTGAAAGGTTCTATGGGAAAATATTGAATAATGCAGGAAGCATCAAGAGAAGATGCAAAGAATACAGAGTCACTGTACTAAAAAGAACTAGTTGCTAGTCCACCATTTCAGGGGTAACATATGAGCACGAACCAAAGGTGCTGAAAAAAGAAGCTCAAGTTGCACTTAATGCATTAGCCCCAAACCAGCCTCCAGGAATTGATGGAATATCAACAGAAAAGTTTTAACAGGCTGATGACGATCTGGAAGCACTCAATTGTCTGTGCCATGAAATTTGGAAGACAGCTACTTGGCCAACTGACTGTAAGAGATCCATATTTGTACCCATTCCAAAGAACGTTTACCCAATAGAATTCTCAAACAATATCACCCAACAATGGTTGCAGCAGTATATTGACAGTCAACTGTCAGAGGTTCAGGCCAGATTCAGAAAAGGCCGTGGAACAAGGATTATCATTACCGATGTCAGATGGCTCTTGGCTGAAAGCACAGAATACCTGAAAGATGTTTACTTGTATTTCATTGACTCTGCCAAGGAATAGAATTATGTGGATCATAACAAACTATGGCTAGTCTTGAGAAGAATGGGAATATCAGAATACTTCATTGTACTCATGCAGAACTTGTACATGGAGCAAGAGGCAGTTGTGCAAACAGAACAAAGGAATATTGCATGGTTTAAAATCAGGAACAGTGTGTGTCATGGTTGTATGCTCTTACCATACTTTTTCTATCTCTATATTGAACAAATACTCAGAAAAGCTGGCCTATATGAAGAAGAATGTGGCATCAGAATGGCAGGAAGACTTATTAACAACCTGTGATATGCAGATGGCACAACCATGCTTGATGAAAATAAGGAGCCTTTTAGAATGGATTACAACTCAGTGTCAAGCAAATAAAAATCCTCACAAGCAGACCAATAGGTAACATCCTGATAAATGGAGAAAAGGTAGAAGCTTCCAAGGATTTTATCTTGCATGAAACCACAATCAATGCTTATGGAAGCAGCAGTCAAAAGATAAAAAGTCACATTACATTAGCTAAATCTGCTGTAGAAGAGTAAGGTGTACCTGACCCAAGCCATAGTATTTTAAATGGTCTCATATACAGGTGAGAGGTAGATATCGGACGGAAAGTAGACACGAGGAAGACTTAAGAATAGTTAAATTTGAACTGTGGTTCTGAAGAATAATATTGAAATTGCCACGGACTGCTGAAAGGACAAACAAACATGTGTTGGAAGAGGTAGAGCCAAAGGGCTCCTTATACATTTCAGACATATCAGGAGAGACCAGACCGGAGAGAAGGGCATCCTGGCTGGTAAACTGGAGGGGTAGTGAGGACGGAAAGGAAGTTTCTCGATGAGCATTGACACGGCAGCTGCAGCAGTGGGCTGTGGCACAGGAACAATAGTGAGAATGGCACAGGACTGTGCAGTACTTTGTTCTCTTGTGCATAGGGTTGCTATGGGTTAGACCCAACTCGATGGCTCCTAACAACAGCCGCCATGAGCCAATTCTTAGTCACAGTGATGCTATTTTGGGGTTCTGAGACTGGACAATTTCATGAGAGCAGACCACCTCATCTTTTTCTAGAAGAGCAGCTGGTGAGTTTGTACTGTGGATCTTGCCATTAGCAGCCTAATGCCTAGTCCACAGTGCCACCGTGGAGCTGTCATTCGCTTTTGCAAACACTAGCATTAATAGCAAAGATAAAAACTGAGAAAACAATAAATGCTGGTGATGGTGTAAAGAAACTAAAACCCTCATATACTGCTCAGGGAGCTGTAAAATGCTCCTATTGCTATGGAAAATTATATGGTGCTTCCTTAAAATGTTGGAAATTAAAATACCATTTGAAATCTAAATCCTAGAGAAATGAGAGTTATGCTAAGAAGAGAGCTGCACACCCATGTTCAGCACAGCATTATTCACAATAGCAAAACTATGGAAATAACCTAAATGCTCATCAGTGATGCACTGATGAACAAGCTATGGTCCATGCACACAACACTGAAGAATAATGGCAAATATGCCAAACGCCTCATAACGTGGATGGATCTAGAGGATATTAAATAAACTAAGTGAAATTAGTCAATCACAAATGGACAAATATTGTATGCGACCACTATACAACATGAAGAAAAGGACTGCATATAGAAAGAAACATTCTTTGAAGGTTTACAGAGGCGGGAAGGGTTTATCACCAGTTAGAGGTTAGACGTGTTCTAACTTGGACAACAGAAAAGTCAATAGGATACAGACAAAGTGAGACTGTGGGAGGAGCGCAGGAGTTAAAGGCAACAACTTTTTTGGCATACTATTGCATACTCAATCCTGCAATAACGGTAACCACCACCATCCACAAGGTGATAGACAAACAAACAAATGTGGAGAGGCACATTGGACCATACCCATGAATAGGCAGAGCTCTGACCAAGGGTATTTCTTTTTAATGTATTCTTTGAATTATTCCTTGTCTGGGAAGACTCTTACTTGTCCATCTA